GGATGCAGTTTGGACTTTACCATGAAAATAAAAATAAGTGGTCATGTCCTCGCTCCTAAGGTGTTATAGACGACTCCACCATCCTCCTCCTCCCTTCACACAATGAAATCAGCTGATTTGACAAAAAGGCATTTTTTAATGGGTTTTTTTTTTTCTTTTACTGCCCATCATTCAGATTATTGAGGATCCTTTCAATAAATTCAATAAAAAAAACACAACTGTAATCGCTTTTTACTCGTCCGCCACTTCACTGGTCCTACAGAAGCACAGGTACCACTGCTTTTGCATGGCAGCGTGAACATTACAGGATAAATCATGCTGAGCTTCTGTAGTTGGGCAAACAAATACGCAGAACAGGGCCCCTTTAGGATACATATCTTCTGATGTGGGTGGGGCTTCTGTCCTGAGATGACCACAATAGGGATATATGCTATTAATGACATCGTACAGTTGTAAGAGTAGAAAGGAACTAAAAGCACTTTGAGATTTTGGCTCTTGGTGATTACTTGTAAAAATGTTGAACTCTTTATTTGAAACGTTGGCCATGTTTAACATTAACATCCATTCCACTAACAGAATATATAAATGGCAGAAAATAAGGAGCAGCGTAAAGGGTCCCTTTTGAGGACACTGTTATGTGTGTTCGCTGTACTCCGTGGAAAGGATTTTGTATTTGTACCCCACACACGCCTAAATCACACCCCAGAGGATCATGTGAGAGCACTTCAGTTAGAGGAGGTGCTGGCTGGTACTGTAAATGATAAAGTAGCTGCAATACAACAAAAATAAGGACAAAAACAAAAGATGAATGTTTACTTGCAGTGTTTGACCAAAGTTTTCAGAACTGCTTATTTTGTAGAGTTTCAGCTCTATGAATAGCTGTCAGCAGTCCTTCAGTTTTCTGCATATTGAACTTTTTATAGAAACAGAGCACTCCTACAGCAAATTTATACTGCTACAGGTGTAAAGAGTACAGTAAACAGAACACAGACAAAAAAAAAATACCAGAACCAATTAGCATCAGCATTATTATTATTATTATTATTATTGTTGTTGTTGATCCCACAGCGAGCGTCAAAAGATGAAGAACAGAACATGTCTACATTCTCTTGGTTTATATCATCTAGATGTCCTTTCAGTCCTTTTGTTTAACAGTCTGATGTCCAATCAGGTATCAGATCCTCAAAGACCTGGAAGTTCACTGGGTTTCCTCCTTTAAAGCTTTTCTACAAAAAAAAAAATATGATGAGCGACGATCACTGGCAGCGTCAGATCCAACCAACCACGTCATCAGATCAATAATAAATCAACAAAATAAAAGTACAATCAGGATACGTATACGTACATCTTTATATAGATTTATAGACTTAGATCTCTCCCAGGAATAGAAGCACTAATATATACATACACAACTGCTGTGGGGCTCATTGGGTCCAATCAAAAGAGAGGCTTAAAGACGAATCAGAATGAAGCTGCAGGAAGTCACAAAAAGTACACAAAAGTCTCTCCGGGAACTGACCAGGACCAGCTGACCACAAAGCAGACTGCATTTCCCAGCATGCAGCAGGTCTCTCACAGGCAGCTTCAAAGTAGAACTTTAGAAATACTGAGGCCCAGAGCTCCTCGCACCAAAGAAATTAGGAGCTACGAACCAAAATAAAAAATTTACCGGTTGAATTAACTTAAATTTTCCTGCTTTAATGTCGTCTCAGCAGTTTCAGGTATAATTTTGGTAGAAAGTATCATAATTGCTATCATGTTATAATTTTCTGTCCAATAGGCACAGACTGTACATAAAAGATGGATGTAGCCTCTGAAATCACCCACTGCTGGCACGAGCAAGAGGGCAATCTGAGAATCCCAGAAACACTGCACAGCTTAAACTAACCCTCACTTTGCTTTATGAGACTAATAGGAAGAAGAATTAAAATGAAAATAACGTTGTATTCAAAGCAGTGACAGAGCCCAACAACTCATCAGGAAAGGGAGATCACAGATAAGTAAGAAGTATGGTTGTTTGTCCACAGACTTCTTTTTCTAACAACATTTGTCCCCGTGTTGGCTGTTAGTGAGAATGCAGGTATTCACTTAAATATAGAAGCTACGTCCATGTTTTATATAATTTTTAAACCAAAATTTTAAGTTTTAAGAATCAGAGGAAATAATTTATTAGAATGTAAAATTTTGAGCTAAGAATTAAAACAATGTGGAAAAATTAATAATTCATTAATCAATTATTTAAAAAAAAAAAAAAAAAAAAAGACCCCCCAACACAAAAAGAAAAAAAACCCTTTTTCTTTGATTTCTAAAATTGTAATTTGACTATTTATGGATTTTGGACATTTGACTGTTTTGTGCCATTTCCTGATCTTTTATAAACCTAATTATTGTTGGATTAATCAACAGAAGAACTACCACATTAAATTATTATAAAAGTAATCAGCTGTTGCTCCAACAAAAATTATTTTAAACACTCAAATTCGCCAAATCTTTAACTGAGGACAATCTGAGTCCAACATGCTAACAGCTCACAAATGAAGAAGATGGGCAACTTTTAGAAGCAACACATCGGTTTAGCAGCTGTATTAGCAGGAAACACCCAAGTAATGAGGCTGCCATGGTAAAATATGCTAAGCTACAAATTATTTCTTTAGTCAACTTTTATTAACCTGCACATGATGCTATATTTTTCTGGTTCAAGCACAGGAAGTGAGCGCCCCCAATTTCTCATGGTCTTAGACTGAAGTGCATCAGAAGACAAAACTCCAGGTTAATTACTGAAAACATCTGAGGTGTGACTTAAAGGACTATAAACTAAAAAACAAAATAAAACAAAAACAAACAGGGAATAAAAAATAAAATAAAGAGACTTATACGATTTAGAAGGTCATGATTAGCAGAGGTAAACATTTTACCAAATTGGAACAAAGATCAAAAATAGAACCAGCTATTTCAGTCCAACCAAACTCTGTAGAAAAAATGTTTAATTTAAAGTTACGACAGTTTGAGGCTCAGCAGCATTTTATCCGAGTTGATTACAGTAAATCAACTAAAACGAATGTTTCAGAGATATTTCAGTGGGTGGAGTTGAATTGAAAACTTCAAGCAAAACCTAAACTTCACTGAATATAGCAGATCCTTTGTTTATAGAAACTAATTTGAAAAATGTTTGTCTAAATGATAAAAGCATAGTGCTATAAGTAGCTTCTGAATTTTCCAATAGTCAATATGGAAAAATCACAAGGTCTTTGTTGATACTCAAAAACAATTTTTAAACCTGTAACTAGAGCTGAAAAAAATAACTTAGTTTAATATAATCTGAGTAATTTAGAAAAACGAGACATTTTTTATGGTTTTCTCACATTTTATATAATAATATAACTCTTTTTAAAAATCGAAATAATTGTCAAGTTACATCTGCTCCTGATGCCCTTCAAACATGACTTCAGCATAACTTTTACTACTTGTGAATAAAACTGTATTATTCAATGTTCCTCGTGCCAACATGTTAGCGGTGCTTAAATCCGCATCATTGATGTCCTATAACTATACAGGGGAACAACAACAAGGAGGACTCCTTAAAATATTGTAACCAGGATATGCACACTCATCAAGTGGACTTCAAAGCCACATAACATGAATTATCACGACATGGCCTACAAACCACCCAGATTCAGTCATGCATTTACAGAAGACACCAGAATAAACCGATGCATAGGTTCTGTGGGTTCCAATAATAGTGGAAATAAAGAGAACTACAAACAATTACTTTAAAGTTGTTTTGGATTAATGTATATGTTGGTCACCAAGTAACAAGAAATGCCAAAAACCTATTTCTTGGTATTCATGTAGTATCTTGTCCACAATATCTCTTTAACAAAATTATGTTTAAAGCATTCTTGTTGATGCAAATATCTGTGTAAATAAATCTAAAGACTAAGTCTAGACTAAATCTAAGTCTTGAAACATGGCAGCGTTTACCTTATAAAGTACATTCAAACCATCAGTCCCCTGTGGTAGTTTTGTTCTACAGTTCAGCTCATCATAGCCAGCTATGTTTAGCAAAAATGCAACCCACATTTGTCAAGCCGCTTCTTCTGAAACATCAGTGTTGCCTCATAAAGTTGCCAACAAACCGCTGTCTATTTGTGACTTTTGCTCTAAAAAAAATTTGATGCTTATTTACACAGCAAACCAGAGTTTTTCCCCACAGTAACATTTTTCATTGTATTCCACAAACTCTCACGTTCAGAGGAAACATTTGGAGTCCCAGGAGTGGCACAAATCTCCAATCTAAGGTAAGAGCAATCAAGTGACCTCAGACCATATGCCACTTAAAAATATATATATATATATATATCTCAATATATCTCAAACCCAGTCCTTGTGTCCTCAAACTCTTTCTTGTTCTACCTTATTTAAATCTAAAGCCAGATGCAAAGTCACGAGTGTTAGCATTTGGCTCTTTGAGATGACCAGAAACCAACTAAATACTCAGATCAAATACACCAGACAATCACTGACCCAGAGTCAGTAAATTCGAAACTCCACGATCATGGTTCAACCACTGTGAGTCCACTGAACTACTGATAAACCCCGCCATCCTGGGAGACTAAGCAGAAAGCAAATCAAACACAGCCAGGCCAAAGATGCTAACAGCTTCCTGTTCTGCCTAATGACATTTTCTGACCAGGAAGTGAGTACCAACTAAAATAATCAAATCAAAAGTTCTTTCTGTAAGACTGAGTCACACAAAAACTTTATCCACAATCAAAATGCATGAAAAAAAGGCAAAAGACGTTTGCTGCAACAACAGAAAAGTCTCAAAAATGCTTAAAACATAAATTTAAAAGGGCAATCAAGTAAATTTATAAATAAAACAAGCAATGTTGAGTTCCAGCGAAAAAAAATCAATCTGTCAACACTTTCAAAGTGTGTTTGAGTTTTCTCTGTGCTGACACACTCTGATATCTCGTCAGAAACCAAACTTAACAGTTTAGCAGAGAAATAAAAATCTGCTGGTCAGCCTCATTTGTGATTGGTTGGAGGGGGTAGGAGAGGGGCAGAGCGATCATTGGTGATGGTCCTTCTGAGCTTTACTCCTCTAAGAAGGGTCAACATGTTTCTGTTGCCTCCTCCATCTCCTTCTTCTTCTTCTTCTTCTTCTTCTAGGGTGACCTGCTCAGGGTTTTGGTCCTGGCTGGAGGGTGGAGGAGCCTGGGGCTGGTAGTTGATGTTGTTGGGCACACCGGAGGGCTCTGCCTGAGTAGTGTAGGCCTGGTGCTGCTGTTGCTGCTGCTGGAACAGCTTCTGTTTCTGCTGCTGGTTCAACTGCAGCTGATACTGATCGTGCTGAGGCTGCAGCTGCTGGGCTTGCTGAATCTGGGGCTGTTGGAACTGCTGCTGCTGCTGCTGATGTTGAAACTGCTGCTGAATCTGTTGCCATTGCTGGAACTGTTGCTGCTGAATCTGTTTCTGCTGCTGGAACTGTTGCTGCTGAATCTGTTGCTGCTGAATCTGTTGCTGTTGAATCTGTTGCTGGAACTGTTGAATCTGGAATTGCTGGTTGTGCTGTTGCTGTGGTTGACTGTATTGCTGATGTTGCTGGTATTGCCTCTGTTGCTGTTGTTTGACACTGTTCCCTCCCTCAGATGGCAGTGAAGGAACAGTGGGTATGGGCACTGGGATGGGCATCTGGCCTGGGACAATCTGGTAGTATGGGGAGGAGGAGGGTGGTAAAGCACTAAGGCTCTGGGTGGAGGTGCAGAGTTTACTGTGACCTAAACCTACAGAAGAGGGCACTTTGAAAACGTTCTCATCGCTTCCGTTGGTTCCGCCGAGGGGTTTGAGTGGAACCTGCGGGGTGGAGATGGGGATGGGAACCCCACCACTGATTGTTCCTCTGCGAAAAGGCGGCTTAGATGAAGGTTTGCGCCTGATGGTTGCCGTGTGGGATGGCATCTGGCGGTTAGACACACCACTCAAGTCGGACTCAGCCAATAGGCTGACAGTAGAGGCAGGACGCTTGGAGTGGATGAACTCCCGGTACTGGAATCTGAGGTCGGAGTTTCTCGGGATGGTCGATGACTTGTCGAAATCTGACTGGCTGTTGCCGTGGGAGAGGTGATGTAAGGAGATAGAGTCAGTGTCTCCGTGGAGAGAGATGGACTCATAGTCGACTGCAGAGATGGGGAGAGAATGTTAAAATGTTAGTTGCTCTGCTGTCAGGCAGACCTTTCATTACCTCTGGATTATCTCAGTGACATTTTTTTTTTTTTTTTTTAAAGGGTTCTCATCTGCTCACCTGACAGACAAACAACAGAAGCAGCAGGAGCACATAATCACATCAGTGACTCACTGTCATGTTTGTGAATGAACAATTAGGGGATGCATCATTGTGGAAACTCTTATCAAACAAAAACAGGGCAACATGCAACCTAATTACTTTTAAAACGCATGCAAAGCTCCAGTTCAATGTTCCAAATAATAAGGTTAAAAACAGACGTCAATTCATGGCAACGACATTAAATTTGAAAAGGTCAAACACACACACAGACACACACAGGAGGAAGTAAATTACAGACAAAGCAGCTGAATTTGTTTCTAATGTTCTGTTTGTTTTGGGTTCCAAATTAAGTAAAAAAGGGACTACGTAATTTAAATGCTTCTGGCAGCTTCTCATCTGCTAGCATCAACACCAGAAATATGAAATGTGAGTAATTAATGTCTTCTCTTTGCAAGCAAGTGTGATGGGAGAAACCTCAGTCTCCTATAAGCTGGGTGACTAAGCTAAAAAAAAATATATAAATAAATAAATTCCATACCTGGATTAACGTTGTATCCAAAATGTATTAATTAACTTAATGGGTAAAATAAACAATGTCAGCTTGTCCGCCTGATGCCCTCACAGCAGTGTCACAAGATTTAGCCAATTTTTACATCACTTTATACTTTGATACAAAAGGAGCTTTATTTATTTATCTATTTATTTAAAAGGATCTGCTGGGTAAGCAAGAAGTGACTATCCAGAGAAGTGTTGCCTCCTGGGCACCATGCTTCACAAGTGAATCATCGATAATTTGCTGATGTTTAAAATCGCAGTCCTGAAGCCTAGAAAATGCTTATGTTTTGTAACACTAACACTGTAAAATTGAGAAGAGAGATTTTATTTTCCTTGTGCTTGATAACCGAGATAACAAGAGGAAACTGCAGCCACTAATGATTAGGTTATTAAAATTGGCCATACAAGTGCCCTGACAGGCACCAAAATTAATAATTTTATCGTTGCCAAAAAGATTCTAATATTTGAAAATAAGGACAACGTTTATTGCTTCTTTTAAATAAACAGTGCTCTTTCAGCTGATGTAAGATCTTTAATAGATGAACCAAAAGTAGATTTGATGGTATGTTGGACGTGACATAAGCAGACAGGCAGGCAGGCAGATATACAGGCAGTCAGAGACCTACCATAGATAGGAGGATCTCTCTTTACAGCTGGAAGAGAAGGAAGGCAGTTTAACCAAGAAAACACAAAACTACTCAAAGAAATACAACAGGAAAAGAAGTAAAGATGAGCTGATACACCAGAAAAGCACAGAAAAAACAAGTGAACAGCAGGCAGGTCAAGAGAGTCAGTTTCACTGTCAGAAATCAGAAATGACACCCACTAAAGGGTAAATCCGAGAAATTCAGCCAGACAAGCAGCAATTCACACCAAGGTTATGGCTCCGTGAGAGAATGGGTTTCCATTTTCATAATAAACACAACATCTAATTGCTTTATTGTTGGCGGTGCTGCTGCCACTTTAGGTTGTATTTGGATCACATGATGTTCGTCTCGGCCACATAGTTGGTTCAAACAGCTTTTAATCAAGAGCTCAATTCGATTTTCTATAAAAAGAAGTGTTGTGCTTTAATGTACTCACTGTGGGTGTGTATAGTGTCCTCGGAGCAGGACGGGGTGGTTGTTTGGGTGCTATAGCCGCTGGAACAGTGCAGAGAATCTCTGCTGCTTCTCGGGGCGTCAGAATTCAGCGCACCCAGTGACAATGCCAGCTGATCCTGGGCCAAGCAGTGCTAAAGGAGTGAAAGAAGGAGACGGATGAGGTTACAACTTTTCAACTAACGAAAGATCTATATACTCCCGCAAGATCATGCTTCTCATTCACTGTTGACCATCCAGCGGTCAAAGCTTCTGTCCAAAGTGACATCCGCAAAACTTTTGTCAAGCTTTTGAAAGTGTGGTTGGAGGACAGGGGGTGTTTGTGCTATTTTATGTAAATATTTTAAACGTATTCAGCATTAATTTTTAGCAACCCTTTTATTTATTTATTTTTATTATTTTTTTTATAATAAACTACTTTGGATTGAAAAGTGCTATAAAAATAAAATTCAATAGCAGAAATAGGACAGAAAGGCATTTTCTTGGCTCATAATCGGCCTTCGGGATTGTGACGAGGTAAATAAGCACAATATAGTAAAGGCAGTGCATTTAGATCATAATCATGAATAAAAATACGTTTTATTTAACGTTTCATTTTTTAAAGTGTTAACATTCTGTAAATGTTTTCATTATTTCCAGCCAAATCAACTTGAGACACCAAAAATTCCTCTATGGAGGAAAATCCCTGTAAAAGAGCTTTTGCATATGATCAACCTAGCTAACAAACAAAGCTAACAAAGTGGCTCACAACTTTGTTAGTTTTGAGACTTTTTAATAATCTATGCTCGTCCTCTGCCTCCTGCTGGGTTATCAATATGCCTGCATGTTCAGGGCTCCAGGTAAAATAAGTTCAGGTGTCTTTTAATTCATAAAGTCAATTAGTGATGAATGTAATTTGAGTATTTGGAACAAGTTTTTTTATTTATTTATTTTGCTTTAGAGAAAAACCACAGAAGCAGCCCGCTCTGAATGTCATCTTTGTAGTTTTAACTCCATGACTGTCAGACTCAGAACATCACCTGTGCGTTTAACCACAGGATGTTTGCACAAGAACCACCAACCACCTTTTAGAGCCTGTTTAGCACCAAAAACACCAGTTCACCACAAGGATCTGTATGCTGGCTGAGAACATCAACTGTGACAATTTCACACAGATGAAATACAAAGAACTTCTCTTTTTTCCCCGAAGCACTCAAACTGTCACAGTGGAGGACTTCCGGGTGTCATGGCGGATTGAGTGGACGCGTTTGGTGGTAGCTCCCTATCAGGAATTTAAAACACCGAAAACTCGTCAACAGACAATTCAATTGAGCAAAACGAATATAATTGGTGAGGAATAAGGCAAAAGGAGGCCAAAATGCCAAGGGGACATGATAAAGCCGCAAAAATAAATACCAACAACGCAACAGGACAAGACTGCACGAGCCCCGATGGCATAATTGGAGATTCGGCTGGCGAATTACTAAAAGCCATCGAATCATTGAAATCAGAAATGAAACAAGATAATGAAAGGCTGAGAGAAGGCATTAACACGCTACAGCGGGAATTGGGCGGTAAGCTCGACAAGATAAAGGAGGACATAAAAACTCTGTCGAAGAGAGTGGGGGAAGCCGAGGATCGAGTGGGAAATATAGAAGATGTGACAATGGAGTTAATTGAAGCGCTCCTCCAAAGCTTGAAAACACAGAAATTTATTCAGAACAAGCTGGTGGACCTGGAGTCAAGATCCCGCAGAAATAATATACGCCTGGTCGGAGTGGAGGAAGGCTCCGAGGGGAGATCTGTCCAAGACTTTGTCTCGGAGCTGCTACAGCACGAGATACCTATACCGCCGGGCTAGAACTTAAGATCCAGCGGGCCCATCGTATCTCTGTACAGAAACCGCGCCCTGGAGAATTCCCACGTCCGATTCTTATTAATTTCCAGGAATTCACAACGAAAGAACTCATACTTCGAGAAGTTTGGAAAAAGAAGCAAATCCAGGTGAATGGCAAGACGATCTACTTTGATCATGACTATGCATCAGATATTGTTCAAAAGCGCAAACAATACAGAGAAGTTAAGCGGATACTAAAGGAAGCGGGAGTGCGCTTCCAAACTCCCTACACGAGCATTCGGATCCACTGGCAGGACGGAGTCAGAAACTACGGTAACGTACGAGAGGCGGCTATGGAGATGCAGAGGAGGGGATACGATGTCCAGATCCCGGCGGCATCTGAGGAGGACGATGCGCTAAGCAGAAGGTGTCGAGAGTGGAAACGGGCCTCAATCTCCCATCGAGAGCAAATTTCTTCCCCGAGGCAGAGAGTTAAAAAAAAATTGGAGGAATTTCAGAGAAATGCTGATTAGTTCGGGGGATATTTCCCCCTGTTACTGATCAGAAAATTATAGGCCTCTAAATTCAAAGTTCTGGAGGAGCAACACCGGATGGAGGTAAATACGTTGGACTATAATTTGGGAACTACTTCTTCAGTTCTCAAATATTTCATAGGGCCCTCCTTTACGGAGGTTTTTTACCCTAGATCTACCAACGGGGTCATGATGGGAGACAGTTTCTTCCTACTAATTGGGAGTCGCAAGTTTGTGTTTAATTTTTGTTTAATGTCTAGTAATATTGTTTTATTTTATTTTCTTAAACTAGAGGGGATGATCATTGCACACTGTACGAATCATGAGTGGTGTAGGTAAAATAAAAATTATTTCAATCAACATCAATGGTCTGGGGAATCCAGTTAAAAGGAGTAGATTGCTATCTAAATTGAAACGACACAAGGCACAGATTATATTCATTCAAGAAACTCATATGTCAAAAGAAGAACATGAAAAATTTAAAAAGCTTGGCTATGTAAATTCTTTTTATAGCTCATGTAAGAATAGCAGACGAAGAGGAGTTATAATTTTATTAGCTAACACGGTAAATTTCGAAAAGTTAGAGGACATCTGTGACAAGGAGGGTAGATATGTTGCTGTCAAAGGGAGGATTAATAATGAAGTGGTGTCCCTGATAAATGTGTATGCCCCTCCAGAGGATAACTCAAAATTCTATCAAAAACTATCTGAATAAATTATGAGCTTTAGTGAAGGGACCTTGATATGTGGGGGCGACTGGAACTGTATATTAAATCATACTAAAGATACTACAAGCAAAAAAAGACGCAAAGATAATAAATCTAAATCTCTTAACTCATTAATAAAGGAAGCGGATCTCTGCGATGTATGGAGAGAATTACACCCTCTGGAGAAGGATTATACCCATTTCTCAGCAGCCCATAAGGTTCACTCTAGGATAGATTTTTTTTTGATAAATAGAAGTGATAAACATAGAGTCACAGAATGCAATATCGGTATAGCCGACTTGTCGGATCACAACGCCATTCATTTGACCATTCACCTACATAATCAGAATAAGAAATTATTATGGAAATTGAACATTGGTATTCTCAATAATGAATCTGAGGTAAAAGAGATCAAAAAGAAATACAAACCTGTATTGCCCACAATAAGGATGATCAGATAGACCCAACAATAATTTGGGATACTGTGAAAGTAGTAACTCGGGGGTATTTGATATCAAGGACCAGCTACCTCAAAAAAATGAAGAAGCTTACACAGTCCAAATTAGAACAACAATTAAGGGATTTGGAAAAAAAAAAGCATACAGATTTGAGTCCTGATTTGGCTGAAAAAATCAAAAACGTAAGAAAACAACTAAGTGATTTGACTATGGAGGAAATAGAAAAGAAACTGAGATTCACAAAACAAACATTCTATGAGTCTGGCTCCAAAGCAACTAAAGTATTGGCTAAACGGTTAAAATTAATGCAAATAACTAATGCAGTCAACAAGATTAGAGATCCAAATACCAAGGAACTACTATATGAACCAACACAGATAAAAAACACCTTCCAAGAATATTATAAAACATTGTATAGTCAACCGGATCAGAAAAATGGACCAGAAATTGTAGAGTTTTTGGATCAGTTAGACCTCCCTTCAATAGGGACAACTCAAAATGAACTATTAACCAAACCAATTACAAAGGAAGAACTGGATAAGGCAATAAGGAGATTGAAGACGAATAAAAGTCCAGGGAGTGATGGGTACCCCAATGAGTGGTATAAGACTCTCAAAGAGGTTTTGGCCCCTATTTTGATAGATTCTTTTAATTGGACAATAAAATACGCTAAAATTCCACCTTCCTGGAAAGAGGCCATCATCTCAGTCTTACCGAAAGAAGGTAAAAACAAGGAAAACTGTGATTCTTATCGCCCAATCTCCATCTTAAATGTTGATTATAAATTATTTACATCTATAATTACAAGACGCCTAGAGCTGTTCCTTCCTGACCTGGTGGATGAAGACCAGACAGGGTTCATTAAGGGGCGACAGACACAAGACAATATACGACGTACATTGCATATAATTAATGAAGTTAATAGAGAAAAAATCCCAACAGCCTTAGTGAGTTTAGATGCTGAAAAGGCTTTTGACAGAGTCTCTTGGATATTTCTTTTTGCTGTTTTGAAGAGAATGGGCTTTGACAGTATCTTCATTAAGTGTATACAATCCCTGTATTATAGGCCAATGGCTAGAGTTAAAATAAATGGGGACTTGACAGACAGCTTTGAGCTCTTTAGAGGAACTAGGCAAGGTTGCTGCTTGAGTCCAGCTCTTTTTGCTTTATATATTGAGCCTTTGGCTCAGTATATACGGCAAAGTACAGACTTAAAAGGGGTTTTTGTTTCCAAACTTGAACAACGAATAGGTCTTTTTGCAGATGATATAATTATATATCTACAGGATCCTGATACGACCTTTCCTTGGCTGTTTAAAGCATTAAAATATTTTGGTAAAAACGCAGGATATAAACTAAACATCGTAAAGACTCAAGTACTCTGTCTGAATTATTTCCCCAAAGAATTATTACAAAATGAATTTAAATTAAAATGGGATTCAAATAAGATCAAATACTTAGGTGTCTATTTAACTAGTGATACAAGTACTTTATACGAGGCAAACTATGTGAAGTTTAGTAACACAATCCAAAAAGATCTGATTAAATGGGCTCCGCTTGTCAAGGACCTTAGCTCAAGAATAGAGGTAATAAAAATGAATGTGCTTCCCCGGTTATTGTACCTATTCACCTCATTACCAGTCCAAATAACAGACGCACAGTTTGGTAAATGGGATAAATTAGT